CCGTCCCTCCCAACCACAGCCCCAATTCCGGCGGAAACCTTTTTCTCCCTCCCGACCGAAACCGTCACACTCCCGCCTCTGCCATTCCTCGAGACCGGGGCCCCGGCTTCGACCCCGAGCCTCACTTTTCCCATTGTTCCTATTGGGGCCCCCATCCCGACGGTTGCGACCGGGACTGCCAGTACTTAGTCTGGCGAAGGCTGCAGTGCATGTTCCCGAACAACGGCTCGGCTAGAAAGGGATGCAAGGGATGCCTTTGTTGCTGAGAATAGGCAAATGCCCACAGAGCGAAGTTTTGCTGTAGGACTGTTCTGTATACGATAGTATCAGCCATTACGTCGAATCGAAGTTGACTTCCAAGTACTGAAGTAAACGTCGTTTGAGTCCGCCCTGCATTGAGAAGACGTCACTTTGGTATAGTGAGGCAAGAAAGCGTTCCGAAGAGTTTCACGTTATTGACCTCCAAGCGCTTGATCAGTTGATTCATCAAAATATGCTCTCGACATGAACGGCATGTATTACATGCTGCACGCTGCGGAAAGATTGCTGTCAAATCAAGAGACACGCGTGATTGAACCGAAGATCTCACATCCTCTCGGGTCTTTGCCATGTAAGAAACACCTGAAATTGGTGTCGAAGTCAGTCATGAGATCATCAAGTCAAAGTCCACATCCAAAGACTGGCGGCCCACAATGACGAAGCTGCCGTGGTATGTTTTAAAAAGTTCACTGCATGAGCCTCGTTTGGGCCTCGCAAACATGTAGGGGAACTGTTGTGGAAGCGTATACTGGCCGCAGGAGTTTTCCGTCAGATCTTGCTTGCCCATCTCCCCGTGTTCAAACCTTGTGTCTCGTCCTTTCATTCATGTGAGTACGTCGCCATAACGTTGTGCCAATAGAGAAGCTGAGTATATCAAGACTGCCATCTTGAAGATGCATGAGAGCAAGTCTCAACCCTTCAAGAAAGCATGAAAAGACGAGCGTCGGCAAGGCAGTGTCCAAGTAAGCCGCATACAAACTTTGGTTGATTGACTGAAGAACGATCGTTCAATAAGGAATGAAAATGAATACGCTGAAAGTTCCAATCTACTTCCGTACTACCTCGCCAAGCAGCACCTTCTCAAGCAGAAGGCTGCAAAAATGCTACCTCAGCTTATCATGTGTCCGAAACTAAAACGAAGTGTATTCTCAACGCCTAGAGGTAATCGCGTCTCTGGGCTCCAGATGTCACTGCACTGCAGCACTAATCTGTGACAAGTAGATTTGCCAGTCCGGTAAACAGCAGCCGCTCGTCAAACGACTGCCTAGAAGGCAACCTGGGAGTCTTTTCTGCCGAAGTCATCAACCTCGAAAGTGCCTGCTTCATGCAAAGGCCATCTTGTTTCTGATTGGACCGTATTACCCCCAGGATTCGTAGCAGTTCCATTTCTGGACTTTTACCAATCTTGCAACTTGTTTCGAGGGCGACATTCATCTCGACAGACCGGAAACTACAAGGTTGGGGAAGACCAGCTGTGAGGACGCTTCTCCGTGTCCAAGGATCCCATTCGCACCGTTGACCAACCTCGTTGTGAGCGGTGCCTTGACCGGTTGCTGTTGCACCGGGACGCCGAGAGACGTACGGCACTCGAGCTTGTCGCGGAAGGCGACCCCCCGATGCAATCTGCTGACTTGCAAAGTGCAAAATCGATTTCTGGTCTGCTCGAGAATCGTACTTCGGTTCCTCGCAGCAATCAAGAGGGTTAGCCATGCATAGGCGAGGTTTGCGGCAAAGCGTATCGCTTAGCATCAGCCTAACGACGTCAAGAAGCTGCGGCAGTGACGTTCTTGGGCTCGAGCCGGGCACCAACGAACAGCGTTGCAAGCTAGGGTTACCCTGGTTTTGCTGCCAGTATCTCGAGCAAGAGTCACTTCAATAGCTGTGAAGATTTCGGCCTCCCATCAGCTGGCCGGCATAAATGCTGGCCGGTATAAATGCCCATTCACTGGCCTTGCACCATTTCAAACGAAAGTTGCCAGCAGACGCACTTGCTCCCCGCGCGACTTTGCAGCAATTCCCTGGAGCGCCATACATCCGAACCTCTCTGTAGCGCCTTCACCTTCTTCGCCCAGTACTTTAGCATGGCTTCCAACAAGGTCGCCGCCCTCCTGGGGCTGCTCCTGATCGCCGCCCTCAGTGCCCAGGTGAGGAGAGAACCGCGGCGCCTCGGTTGGCGGCCCGTCTGCTGATACTCTGTCAAGTTTCCTCGCTGTTTGAGCTCGTGGAATTGTTGGAACGAGCGACGGGACCAGGTCTGCTGTTCCCATGAGTTGGAGAAGCAAAACATTCGCGCTTGCTTTCGAAGGGTCACAACTAGAGCTGCTGCGAAACATGCGTGACTAGTGTTCTTTTCACACCACAGTAAGACCTTCATTAAGTACGGTCACAATTCTCAAGCGGTAGCACCGTCACGTTGGTTGCAGGCCCTCCCTTTTGAACACCTCTTCTGACCCCTCTCGTCTTTTTGGGCAGGCGTCGAGCGAAGACTCGTCGGCCTCCGCCCGCAAGCTGCTGCAAGCCCCCCTGGTCCCTACAGGTGAGCGTCAGATCAGACGTGTTCAAGAGTTGAAAGGACGCCGGATATGGACGACCAGGGATGCTCTTTGGGACTGAAAGCTGGGAGGGCAGAGGACTCACTCATTACAGGATTGGAAGTTGAATTGGACAATGTCTCTTCCCTTCCAACCGATTTTCCAATTGGTCTGCTCTCTGCATCTGTGTCCGCTCGTGTTCTTGTGTAGAATGTCTGAGCAAGCTTTTGAGCAGTCTGTGAGGCTATAGTCATGGAAGCGGAAAAAGTGATCTACACCTTGCCAGCTTTCCTGTCCCCCAGGGCCGGTTCCACTTGTTCCACGTGTTTCCTTTTCACCCAGAGTCCTTCGCCGGTTTCGATCACGTCTCGAAATCTTCACTTCATCAAAGATAAACTTCAAAATCACCGTCTAGCTCACCCTCCGCCCCCGTCCTCTGCAGGCCGCTTCCTGTGCAATGATACCACGAAACCTCTCCTGTGCCCCTTCAGCGGCATTGGCGCTTTCCCGGCGGGGGTGGTCTCCGTGCCGGGGTGCTGCTCGAACGCCACCGGCCCTGTTTGCCCCGCGATGAACAGCACTATCGCCGCGTTTCTCCTTTGCGGCTTACCGACGGAGGCCCCGCCCGGGACCCCGCCCACCCCCCTCACCACCCCGCTCCCGCCCGCCGCCACCCCCGCGGCCGTCTAGGCAACCCTCCCAGACTGTAAACCAAACTCCGATTTAAGATCGAGTCTAAGGCCAAGTCGTACTCAAACTTAGAGGGTTTAAGACCGTTCTCATGGGCCAGCAGCTCATCCCAAAGGAACTCTGTTCCTTAGGCTAGATTGGATTGGATTGTCTCTCTGCACAGTAGAGCCCCTTTTCTCCATGCACCTGATCGGTGTGAGCACAAGAAACTTAGTCAGTAGTGTGTATCTGATGAGTCCTCCTTGTACTGGTAAGGATTGTCACTTGGATGGAGTGGTTATATAAGTATCCTGATTCCGGGCACCAACCAGAAAGGACTGGACAAACTGTACATGCAACATTAAGCAGACATAGTATTTGGATCCGAAGCTCCGAACGGCTGTAGCTTCGCAACAGAATCCTCGACATCGAGGTTTTCTACTAAGTTTTCTTGGCGCGGTCTCTTGCTGTCCCATCCGGAATGCTATGATGTCGCCTTGCGTTTCCGTAATCCGCTACCCCTACGCTGCTGTCTACTGAATGTCATTCCGAGCAACCCATAGCGGCTTGCCTAAGTAGCTACTTCGCGATCTCTCTAGGGTCTGTCATGGCACGCCCTTTGCATATGACGACTCTTGCTCTATCCTGTATACACGCCCTCTCAACTACCTTCGTATCTTATTATGCGTAACTGTTGAATTCGAAGTCCGCCTTAAGCTTTGTGCGATCTCTGTGACTGAGTCAATCAGCATGTTTTCGACTGCAGTTTGACAGTGGTTAGGGCGCAGTTGGAAGCCAAATTGATAGTGCGCGCTTTCACATCGATGTGCACGATCTAAATACACATGAAGGGTTTAATACCGGCCAATACCCATGGATCGTCGTGTCGCTATCTCTGTGGGACACGTCTTCTCTGCTGCTGGTATCAATCTCCGACTTTGCTTGACGTATGATGCTAGGACTCATGTGGCAGCAAACGCTGCAGCTGAAGAGAAAAAGGAACCCGACGGGGAACCATTGGAACGTACATCGATCAGAAAAACCCACCTCAAGATTAGCAACGATCACATGCTGAACGGCCGATCTGATTAGCGGACTCGTTCGTGGGTTTGAGCGACCTTGATCAGTCGACTTAGGACACTGGGGCTGATCAGGATAAAATCTTCCTGCGCTCACGGCCCGGCCACGGTCAAGCGATGCGTTGGTCAAACTTTTAATGCTCAGAGGCCTAGGTCTAAAACAAATGCTGTGAGGAAGTGTTCTGAGCCGCGGCCATAAGTATGTTGAGGTCTACTCCAAAAGCTTCCTAACCGTGAAAAGCATTGTATGACGCTTGCACTGCGGTTTGCGTCACCGTATCAGGTTTAGAGTCGTTTCACTTTAGCATCACCACTACGCAACTTTTCGCAAAAATCTAATGGCCGCGGTTCGTGGAGAAGATTTGTCAAAGGATCTGAAAGCTCAAGCTTATCTCTGCACTTATATTCGGCATGTACAATTTGTGATCAGCAACAGTCAGCAACGGCTTACGAAAGTTACAATTTCAAGGCGAAGCGGACGAGTCGGCGATCAAATCCGTTCAGGCTATGGTTTGATGCGGAGCCGACAGGTGGTCAGCAGCCAATGTGTCGATCCAACGTACGGCTGTGATGCTGATCTGCAATTTGTGAATTGCAGCCCCCAAAAATTGGCGACTTTTGTTCTTTCTGTGGGTCCAAGCTCAAACTTCACATTTGGGTGAACTCGGAGAGTCGGATGCAGGAGCTACCTGCAACGACCAATCTTGATTAATACTGAACTTTTCTCTTCAAATATGAAGGCTTTGGTCGGCTTTGGTCAGGCTGCTGCAGGTGCACGATCCGCTGCGAAGGACGCCGCGGCCGCGGGTCCGCCTCCGGGCTTCGAGTGCGCCCGGCCGCCCCAGCCCGACTCGGAACTCATACCTTAACCCAGTGATTCGTGGTTAATGTTTTTAGTTAATAGAAAATGCAACGCCCACATGCGGCCCCACATACTGGAAATACGAGTACCGTACGGAAATCTGAGCTTAAATAACTAGATTTGTAGTTTCATCAGGTTTGTTTCGATAACCTTCTCTAACCTTCTCGGGTCGACCATGGTCCATCTTCTCCCGTTTGCCGTCCGATGTTTCTCAGTCAACCCATTGCTTGACCTCCACGGTCGATAAAATACGCGCGCATGCAAGGGTCCGAGTCATGGTCAACTTGGTCAACTACTTAGCAAGGGCCAAGGGGCACCCGGCATTCTGATTCTGTTGTTGATGTCAAAAGAATGGCGCACAATCGGAGTCTCAACGATGCCGCAGGACCCCTATCCATCTGACCCAATCGAAGCTGGCGTTGACTGCTCCTCTCATAACTTAGTCAGAGGCAAGAAGGGGACATGATGCTGGCGCGCAAAAGAAGCTTTTCTGATGACAGCCTATCGGCGCAGCATAGCCCGCGGAACGGATCAGAACAGAGACGGACGAGGAGGATAGCGCCTGAAGGGCAATGCGCAGCAGCAGTTGCATTGGCAGTGGCGCATTACTCTCGGTGGAGGCTTAGCGACGCCATTGATATAGGGTTACTTAGGTCTTATCCCTGATTCCAGATCCAGTGCAGACAGAATGCTGTGACGCAGCGAGACGCCACATTGGAAAAGGGGACCTCTATACGCAGCAGAGAGGAGGTGCCGCAATGAAGTGTACAAGTTTAGGGTTCTACATAATTGGGGCAGGATAAAGCACTGCAATTACCATTAAGTAGGGGGCGGGGCGTGGGGGAGAGACCAGGGGCGGCAAGAATGGAGGAGACCACGACGGGCATGCTGCAGAAGCAGTTTGAGGTGCTCAAGTTTCTGGGCAAGGGCAGCTATGGCAGTGTGCATAAGGTCAAGCGCTTTTCGGACGGGAACACGTATGCCATCAAGGAGTCCAATGTCAAAAATATGGCGCAGGTACGCAACAAGCGATAAGGCCGCATCTGGTAATCCGTGCAAAGCTTTCCAGAGACTTAGCCATAGCCCACGCTACTTTTAATGGTGCAGGGTCTGTGGTCCCTGCACTCCTAGAAACTTAAGTCGGGTCCTTGAAGGGAGGCGGAGTGAAGGTCAAGAAGTTGGGGCCCATGGGTTCCATGTCGTTGGCCCTATGATTCCATGTTTGCATTGTTTCTGAGGGGCTGAACACCGATGGAAGCCTAGCTTGATGAAGTTGCAGTGCTTTGGAATGGTAATGTAGGAACTTTTTACATTGGGGCCGCCGTTGAAACATGCGCTGCAGGTCTTGTGGCAACTCTTGGACAGCAGGAAAAGGTTTGGGGGGGTAAACATGCATCATTAGTCCCCTACTATTCTGGCGGGTAAAACTTGCCCCTGTCACAATGCAAGCGGGCACAGCCTTTTGTGTACAAGCCACTGCGTTGGTCCCCAAGGACCATGGCTATAGAAACAGAGAAGCATGCCTAGCACTGATACCGCTCTGGCCCAGCTTTGCACAACTAGACACTGTTGAGCACACAAGCGCCGCACTAGTCGCAGCATATGAACATGCATTGGAGCACGCCTTGCTGCATATTCAAATCAAGCATATTAAAGGGGCTTCGAGACTCAGGGGCGGGCTAAAAAGCCCACGTTTGCCTCGTCGCTTATGTGTGCATCTGCTGTGCTCAGGAGGAGAAGATGGACGCGGTGAACGAGATCCGGCTTCTGGCGTCGGTGCGGCACGACAACGTGATCCAGTACCATGAGGCGTTCATCGACGGGGGCAAGCTGTGCATCGTCATGGAGTTTGCGGAGCACGGGGACCTTGCCAAGGCCATCAAGTGAGCGCTCACAAAGGGGTGGCGGTCAATCAAGGCCAGCCGCACTACAGAGTTGAAGTTAGGAAGCCACCTCGCTTGGGAAGGCAGCAGAGTACCATCGGGTGGCTCACTCCCTTATTCAGGCCTTACACGACTCTTCAAGCTGCTCCCACAAGAGCTCTCTCACTACAAGAGAATGGCCTGCTGGGTTCAGGGGCAATTTGGGCAGCGTCGCATAAGGGGTGATGCAAGTACAGAGTAATCAAAGAGACGTCATGACACCTTCTTGAAGTCCGGCGTGATGCTCTGATGCAAGCAGGAAGGTTGTCGTCTCTTCTACGATTCTGCTCAATCCTGACACACACACGATGCTGCACTGTTGCCTTATCAAGTGTTTCCTAACATGCTCAGCTGAGGCAGTGGAAATGCGTCTAGGAAACTTTCGGCCTTGACTATCACCCTCACTGGGTGAGAGGGTGCGTTCCAGACATAGTCGTGGCTTGGATCGTTGTCAGCCGGATGCGTGGTAAGCTGGGGTAACCCCGCGAGCTTCCTTTGTGCACAGGGACCGGGCACAGCAGCGGAAGCACTTCCCCGAGGAACAGATCTGGTCGTACCTCATCCAGATCTGCCGCGGCCTGCAGGCGCTCCACGCAACGCGCATTATCCACAGGTAAGCATGCATTGCTCCCAGCGTGGGTACAAGAACGTGGAACGCGTCAAGTCCTCGTAAGGGCCCCCGCGCAGCTGCCAACGAGACTCCCAGCTTATGAGTTTCCTACTCAGCGTTTGCTTCGCGCCTTTTCTAGGGTGCTGTCCTTGTTCTTCAAGGAGTATACGCGAAGCTGGGTTCTGCTTGTCAGCTGGCCTAAGCTGGTGCACTGACGCCTGCGACGGGCCGAGTTGCTCTTCATTGAACCACCCCCCGGCCCTCCATCTCTGGCTGTAAATCTCATCAAAGCTTCCTACATTTAGAAGTAGCAGAGAGAGTTGGGCTTGGGTTCCGATAAACCTGCTGTTACCGAGATCAGGCGCTGACCCTGGCAAGGTGCGCGCGTGCAGGGACATCAAGTCGGCGAACATCATGCGGCCGGACAGCAGCCGCGTCAAGATCGGGGACCTGGGCGTCGCCAAAGTGCTCAAGGGCGCCATGACCAAGACGCAGATCGGCACGCCCCACTACATGCCGCCCGAGGTGCGCGCGCCAGGCCCTCGATTGCAAGCGGCGGTCTTGAGTTACCGCTCAGCAAAGCCGTGTTCGTACCCAGCTTCTACTACGATCACCGGTACCCTGGCGACGCATCTTAGCTTCGCGCTTACGGGACGGCCCCTGCTACCAAGTTTCTTGAGAAAGTGTTGAGTTACCCGCCGGTAGCGTTAAAACGAGCGGTGGATTGGGTTCCAGCTGACAGGGTCTGCGTGCGCGGTGCAGGTGTGGAAGAACAAGCCGTACTCGTTCTCGAGCGACATCTGGGCGCTGGGCTGCGTCCTGTTTGAGATGTGCACCTTCAACGTGCCCTTCGAGGCGCGCAGCATGTCCGAGCTGCGCTACAAGGTCAGCCGCGCCGCACACCACAGAAACAGACAACGTCTCGCTCCGGACACCGCTCTGGCACCTTTAATTGCCCGTCGATAAGTACTTCTGAGCCGGTCTGTCGCGGAGTGGGCTCTTGAGCAGGGGAGTAGACCATTCAACCATCAATCGTCGCGACTTATCAACCTGGCAACATGAAAGCATGCGAGGATGGCTGCTCGTTGACTCGGTTGACCGGACTGCCACTTCCGCAAGTGCGTGCGCTTACCACTACGCTGCCACCATTTTCCTCCGTGGCTTATAGTGGGGTCCCTTGTACAGGTGATCCGCGGAACTTATCCCGCCATTCCGGCGGAATACAGCAAAGAACTCGCGCACATGGTGAAGACGTTGCTGAATATCGACCAGGTAAGCACCGCCACAACCAGGCTACCAATTGCAGCGGTTTGCGTGAAACCTGTCACGGAGTTTGCGAGCGGAGCACTTGTGTGCACGAAAAATTGGTGCGACATCCGTGCACGGTCAGTGACGTCACCAGCAAAACCTTCAGACTCAGGCCGTCAATTACCGTTAAGCGAAGCTAAGGGCGGTAGCAGCCTTTATGACGTCACTAATCGTGCAAGACAAGGCAGCTCCGATATCGTGCATACCATTAAGATCGTCGGCGACTTCGTACAGGTTTCACGCACACCGCTAACCGACTGCGTTCTTACTCCCTTGCTCGCCGTTGTTTCCGACTGCGTTCTTACTGCTTCTATGCTTCCAAAGATTGCATGGTGCGTTCTCCTCGCATGTTCCGAACAGCGTCACGTTGACCGTAGAGCTGTTCGGAAAGGTGTTATTTCCATCTGGAGTCTCCCCCACTCTGTGCTCAATTTTCGAAAATAATAGCAGACAATGGTAGATTTAAAGGCTCTCTCCAGGCCCGTGGTATTCCCGGGTGGCAAACGCCGACCTTGGAGAGTTCCACCGTATGTTTGGAGTTGACGTGTGGCGCTGTCCTCGCAGGCGACCCGCCCGAGTGCGGAGCAGGTGCTGGGCATGCCCATCGTGCAGGCGCACATGGCGCTCGCGCCGCCGCTGTCGGTGCCAACATCCGATGGCAAGCCGATGCCCAACCCCATGCTGGCCACCATCCAAGGTCGGCCCGCCTCTCGACGTAATCAAGTCTGAGCTTGTAACGAACGAAAGATAGGGACTGCGCGCCGCTCACTATCTGAGAACTATCGGTTCCGCACTTACGCTTATACCTTCAAATGGTTTTAGATCGCTGCCATATCCTCGGTTAAAAACCTGCAACGCTCCACAATGTACTCACAAGGCAAGCTTTGTGGAACTTCTCTCTGGAAGATTTCCTCCTTTTGAGAGGGGCAGTTTTTCTCTGCCATTGACATGCAAAGGGTGATTGCGGGTGGATAGCTGTGATGTCACTCCAGGCGTTTCGGGTTCGAAGCCGTCTTCCTTGGTGTGTGCAGTCCCCCAAAACCTGCGCCTTCTGAAGGCGAAGCTGCCCCGTCCCGCCTATCCCAGCAGCGCGCCTTCGACCGCTCCCCCCTCGCGGCCGCCCCTGCCGCCCTCCGCGCCCGCCCCCAGCGCCCTTTCGCGGCAGCCGGTCAACGTCGGGGGCAGACTGCCCGGTAAGCCGCCCGGAAGACTGAGGGTCCTCGAAGTCGAGCATCCGCTTTGAGAAACCGAGCGACTTGAGCGGGTATCGTGAGGATCCTGCCCTCCTCTGCTGGAACTTCAAGACGGCTCGCTAGGATCGTCATCTTTTACGTTGCCGACCACTGAAGGTCGAAAGGCGGTGTTTGAACGCTGCAAGTCTTGAGAATCCACTTCGAGCTCCGGACCCGATCTTTTGAGCATGATTAACCCTGAGCACAAAGTTAGACCGACCACTTTGTTGTCCGGCCCATCCCCTCACGATCATAGGAATGGTCTTTGAAGACGTGGCGTTCTTGCGTCTGTCGACGGCTTCAGAAACCTTTACCCCCCTCCTCGTGTTGCAGCCATTGCGAGCGGTCGATTGTACCAGGGCCCTTCCCCGGGCGCTGGGCGGCCGCCGGCCGGTCCGGCGCAGCCCGCTCTCCGGAACAGCCCCTCCCGCCACGCCGCCCCGCCGCAGCCGGCGGCAAGCCCAGGCAAGCGCCGGTTACCCTCTCCCAGCACACCGAACGGCTTGCGTCGTACCACAACCAGGCCCATTTATTTACACGACAAAATGCATGACGAACGCTCGTAAACCGGCTCCGAGCAATCCCACTCAGAGAGCGATCTAAGCTCGCGAGCTCTTGTCGAAGACTTAAGTGCAGCCCCTGCATAGTCAACCGCACCAGCTCCTGATCGCTGAGAGAACGAATAAGCAGGGCGAAGCTCCTACGGACTCCGACGGAGGGTTAAAAAACGGTGGCTGACGTCATCGGGCGGTGATGTCCTGCAGCGGGCGGTGCGCGGCGGCCTTCCGACCAGTTGGGCGTGATGCCGGGCAAGGACGTGCCGGGGCTGCCCGCCGGGTACAACCCGTACGCCAAACCGGGGACCAAGAATGGGCCCTATGCGAAGAGCCCGTACGCACAGGGAGCCACTCGGTAAGCGGAGGCGCGCCTCGGGGCAACGAAACGCGGGACGACGGGGTCATGATGCTGGATATTCTGGCAGCCGTGGGAGCAAAAGAGCTTGACCGACTTTGACGATTCATGTTTCAAGTGGCGACAATAGAAACCTCAATTCGACCAATTTTGAAGTTGAAAGCTTCACGGGAAGACGTTACACGGCACAACGTTTCTGAAACCATTGGCCATATCTCCGGTGCAGGAATCCTTACAAGCGTGCGCCCTCAAACGTCAGCCGCGCCCCGGCAGCGGCGGGGAGTGCTTACGGAGCGGCGCCGGCGGCTCGGCAGCCGTCCCCGCGCTTGGCAGGAGTGGTGGGCAAGGCGACGGGGGCCAGGGCGCAGGTGGGCCGGTCGGGCCGGGAAATCCCCCACGTACTCCGCTGATCCTGTTGCCTTTGTGATTCTGTTGGCATCTCGTCCCTCATGACAGGTCCGGCTAATAAGTTTGAAAGCGATGCGCCTTCCGTGCGGTAGCTGTTTGCGAATGGCAAGACGGTGGCAAATGAATCAACAGGCTGCTGAGATGCGGTCGGCTTCTGGTGTGTGCAGAACGGCGGCTACAGCCGGCAACCGAGCAGCCGCGGTCAGCCGCAGCAGCCGGGCGCGCCACAGAGGCAACAAGCGCCGGCCGCAGTCCCCCCCGGGAGGATGGCGGGCAGATTCTACTAAGCCATTTAGCCGTGTCAGCGTTGAGTAAGGAGGAACGGAGGGCGATCATGTGAGAACCATAAGAGGAAGTAGTGGGGAATCCAAAATCCTAGAGCCCGCCCTTTTTGGGGATGCTCAATTGCTTTATAGCTTAAAGGTCAAATCTGAAAGCATAGCGAACAGAACTGAGTTTATGGTTCCTAATTGGCAGATAGAACTGACTTGTACATACTACAGGTGACAGCACCAGGTGCTTACATTACGAACGTGTCCAGAGAGAGCAAAGCCAAGATGCCATGCACGCAGCCAGCAAGCTGAGTCCGAGGAGGCTAAAGATCAACAGTGCCAACATATTGAACTCAAGAGCTAGCTAGGTTTCAAGGTGTAATTGCACTTCGAAGCCAGGCTTTGCCAGGTCTTGACTCATAAGTTGTGTTCTAGTAGCCCCTATGTACAGTTGGACTGCTGGCCATCCGGAAACCGTGATGGATATGCCTTGAAAGCAGGGCCTCCTTATTGAAACTTGCGAGGCTGGCAACGATTGACGTATATCTTCTAGTTTGCAAGCTGTGCATGTGTCGGTCTGTTCTGGTCATAAACCCGAGCTGGCCATGCCAACTGAGAGTAGGTAAACTGGACAATGGTTGGGCACCGGGTGCATATTGTCCGTGGATACAATCGTGCTAGGATTTCTGAAAATCTTGAGCAATTATGTAAATATTGCTGAATGCCAATTCGAGTGTTGTGTGCATCACATGGCGCATGCTGGGATTATTACCTTAGCCGACCACGGCTCCGAACCGACGTTCAATAAATCATCTAATCTAAATATCTAGACTTGAATATTATCCTAGGCCTATAAAAGAATAACATAACTGCAGGCCGTCATGTTTCCAGTCGCAACTTTTAGCTCATGGAAGTTGCTTGAATCTGAATTGCAGCATAAAATGTGCGGATACATGCAACCATGTATCTACACATGTGGCAAAATCATGCAAGGCAACATGTAGACCAAGCGGCCGTCGCCTTGTCCATGCAGCTCGAGATTTGCATATGCTCCCTATGAGCGATGTGCAATTTCGAGTCTCCAAAGGAGCACAGTGCTCTGCTGTGTCGTGGTATGCATCCATGGACTGCAGTCACATAGCGGCCTGGTTTCGATTATGCTGTCAACTTACTAAAGATGCAAGACGAGCTACTATACAAACGGCAAGGTAAGCAACTTGCACAATTCAACATCGCTGGGTTCACCACTTTTCGCAGATTGCCTGAACCAACCTAAGTTCGCAGGTGCCAGCATTATTGCAAGCTCCAATTGTGACGGAGAAGAAATAATCATGCCGTAGCTGCTCGACCCTGGCTATAGGCATAACAGCATGCAATCACAGTCTCTTTGCTCCTTGAGAATATAGTCTATCAAATATATGCAGCCTCACAATCTACTGAGAAGCCCTGATTAGATGCACCTTTGAAGAAGGTATGTCAATAGCATCATCTACCGCACGTGCCAATAATGAATCAATGGATTCTGTTTGCATGCTCCGTGCTGCTGGGCAGATCAACATGCCTATGCAGTTGCCTCCTTCAAGTACGCAATCAGATCTGCTCTATCCTTTGGCTTCTTGAGTCCTGGAAACACCATTTTTGTGCCTGCCAAGAAGCGGATAGAAACAGCGATGCTCTTAGTGCCTCCGTCAAAAGAATGTCCTTCAAACATCAGAGGTAAAAGCTGGACTTCCATGACCCGGGTTTATACCTGGACCCAACCTGCCTTCTCACAGATCAAAAGCACATAGAACGGGCTGCGAAAAAATGGCCTGAAAGGATGAAAACAATCAACTCCTCTGAGCTTTTTGCATAGCATCTTAGCTGCTTGTGAAACCCAAGCTAAAAATTTCAAACATTTGCCACCGATTGCTGAGCAACCACTGTCGTCTTTTCATGTTCTTTGCGAGTGTTCTTTTCCAGGCTGTCTCAACTTTTCCCAGTGTGCCACGTACTGTAAGTAGCGAGCTCATGAAGAAGTGCCGCTGGCTGATTGACAGGGGGCTTACCTGGGATGTACTTCTTTGGATTCAACAGATACTCGTAAAGTGTTTCCTCTTTCCACTCCACAGCCTTGCTCTTGTTGGCAGCTGAGTAAGAGTAGCCAGCTGCTGTGCCAGAAGTTCTGCCGAACAGGCCTCCTAGATTTGGGCCTGACATCGCAAAGAGCAAAAGATCGGCATGTTGCTGGAGAAAAGCGCTGATAATGCTTCCATACGCAAACAACAGAACATCTTTCTGATGTAAGACAGCACTGACCATCTCAGAAGCAGACATATGGACTCAAGAACACAAAGATCTCAACCACCAAAGCGGACAGGTTCGAGTGCAAGTGCATGCATACCTTGCTTGTGACCTCCACCTTTCTGCAGCAGGAAAGCAAGCAAATTTTTTGATCAGTTGTCAACAGAGTAGAACGACACAGAAACTCAAAATCATGATAAGCACAAATCATTCGTCACACAAAACATGCTGCACAGGACCTTCATACCAAGCACAGCCACTAGAACTAGAGAAGTAATCTACAAAAGCGGAAAGATCCAGGAGTGTTGATCATCTTACCTCAGCGACGTGACACTGCGCACACTTGGTCTGCACAGAACCAAGAGACTCAATCAGCTTTCTGGCTCATGCGATGCACCGGGGTTCACAACAAAACATGCATCTATTGAAGAGATAGATGTTAGCCAACAGGTTATGCAGACTCTTGCTATTGCAGCTTCGTGATCAAGGTGTCCCCGGTTACATCCACTGACCACAACATTGAGAGATCACCATCGCGTCAGTTCAGCTCACCTTAAAAGTCTTTCCACCTGCTGTTGAATCGCCTGCTGGGGCTTTCGACCAATCAATATTGTCCCCCATGCTGCCCCCAGAGTTGTTCGATCCTCACAGTCCCGAAACGAAAGATCTGATCTAGCACTCCACTTGCAGAGGAACACGCGCTGTCAAAGCTTCTGTGCTTGAACTTCCGAATCCTGATGTTCCTGTTAGCAAGCTGGTGCACAGACGCGCTGATCAGTGATCCGGATTCGCCTTCCTAGCTTTGCAGGCAGCGCGCCTAGTGGCTGGTTTGGCAGAACTAGAGCGAGTCACGATGCAGAGTGACGTGGCAGTGTCTGCGACAAAAGTGTAACTCTTGCAGCGTTACCACATGACAATCCTTCACCGCTTACCACTGCGAAGCTGCAAAAAGTGGCGGTCATCATGGACGCAGCGTGGCAAGCCTTACTGGCAGAGGTTTTCATTGTCCACAGATTTCGTAATTTCTTGATGATGTCCGCCACAAGCCGGCTCCAGTTTCTTCCTGCAGCCTCCTGTGTTTCCTGCTGGCTGCAGCAAACCTGCGCACAAAAGCAAGGCCTTCAATCAGGCAGATCACACTGGTATAGTAGCACTCAAGGGATTAACAGGTGGCGAGAGTCAGTGACGCGGGGTGCGCGCTTCAGCTCAGGTGTTGCGGGAGTCACCTGCGCAGCCATGAAGTACAACAACCTAGGATGGTCGGACGTGAGGGTCTCTGAGGTGAGCATTGGCCTGCTGCATCGACAAAGTACAATGCTGTGGTGGTACAGACTCCCAACCTCCTCACAAGTCTGTGACTACCTTAAGAAATGCTTGATACAACTTGTAAGACAACTTTGTGATCCAGAACAAGCACAACTAGAATGATGTATGGTGATGTCGCAGCATGGGCTCAAACGCTATGCATCAAACCCCCCACGTTTTGATCCTCAAGTTGTCCTGGACATTGCCAGCCAGCGGGGCGACCTGTCTGGAGTGGTGCATTCATCTGACCTTTGATCTTGTTATCCTGAAGGCCTGCTTTGGCGTGATGACTTTTGGGAACCAGACGGGGGAGGAGCAGGCACATGAGCTGCTCGACTATGCTCAGTCGCGGGGAGTCAACTTCTTTGGTGAGAGTACAGTTGGCGCCTGTTGCCTTGAACTTGCGAAGCAGCCCCAATATACGCCGTCAACTCATACAAGTTGCTTTTGCTCTTGATGGTTGCTCTGCTGCCTCTGTAGGCAGTCTGATTGGGGGCGACAGGCCTACCTTCACAGAGAAACTCGTGTCTCTGAGCGTGGGACAGTACAAGATTGGCTGTGGAGGCGACGTACTTTAAAAGTTGCTTTGTTCTTGTGGTGACGGTGCAGACACTGCGGAGATGTACAGCGCCCCCATGTCTGAAGAAACTGCGGGCAAGTCCGAAGAGATCCTGGGCACCTGGCTCAAGCGACAACCACGGGACAAGGCGATTGTGGCAACCAAGGTGAGAAACTTGTGCTGTAGAGATCTGTCCAACAGTCCATCAACGATCAATGGAATGTCTGAAAGAGACCTTCCGATGCAAAGACTCTTTTGAGCCCCAGCCAATGGTCCAAGGAAGGACTTTTTTCAGCCAGGCCCCGTTTGAAAGAACTCAATTGCATCCATCAATCTTTTGGCCCAAGGAGATTCGTTTTTCTGTTCCGTCTTGATTGGACAAGCAGGAATGCGACGGGATCAAAATTGTGGCTCTTCTTTGAGAACGCGGTGTCTTGCAGATTGCTGGTTACACTCCCTCTACCTGGGTGCCTGGCAACCGGAAGGTTCCACGCGATCCAACTCGGCAACCCGCGCGCCTGGATCGAGACTCTATTTTTGCTGCAATCAAGGGGAGCTTGCGGCGCCTGCAAACTGACTACGTGGATCTGTACCAACTGCATTGGCCAGACAGGTAGACACGGGGCCAGGCAGTTGGCTGGACCAACATTAATTGTCCCAGACCCCCAAAAGGGATGTAGGCGAACGCACAACAGGAAATGTAGACAACTATGCCTGCTTGAGCCATCTTACTTGCTAGTACCATGAACAAGTCTTTTCACATTTTATGGACGCATTGAAAATATATTGTTGCGAGAAGACTTCAGGGCCAATTGCCGTCCAGCCCTGTCAAGCTTGCTTTAAGATAGATAGGGGTGCTCCTTGAATGCGCAGGTACGCACCCATCTTCGGCCAGACTGTTTATGACCCGAAGCAGGAGAGGCCGGACGCGGTGCCGTTTGAGGAGACCGTGGAAGCACTGGGAGTCCTGATCAAAGGTGGGCACGCTCGTCGGTGGGTGTCATCAGCGGAGTGATCCATGCCGGTAGGCCGTATCCCGCCCGTGATTTTGAGCTCACCTTAACACAAACTAAGGTGGAAGGCACAGTGGCAGCATCAGGCTGGATTGGGGAGGGCATCTACCTAAGTTGAAGTCGTGAATGTCAGCAATAGAGCGGGCATGATTCTGAGAGGCCACAGTCCAAACGGTTGAAGTCAAGATACGACTCCTTAGAACGGCCACAAAGCCCCAGTCAGTCACAACCGATCAGCGAAGCTAGATCTCGTTTACAAGCCATAAACTCGTCACCAAGCTGTGCTCTTCCCCGAAGTGAAGCCAGGCATCCTGCACGGAGGGGATTAATGCGTCCTTCGGTCGTGCGAGCCGCACTCGGCACAGCCGACGAGTAGCAGGCTCACGTCGCGTTCTGTTTCACACTTTTTGCAGAGGGCAAGATCCGGCATTGGGGCCTGTCCAACGAGACGACGTTCGGGGTCTGCCAGATGGTGGCAGCCGCAGACAAGCTGGGCGTGCCGCGCCCCGTCAGCATCCAAAACAGCTTCAGCCTCGTCCACAGGTGCGTGTCGCGCCGCACGCAGCACACAGCGAGGTTGTCGGCTTCCTAAACCAGGGCTTAAGTCTAAGCGCTGTGGTATATGTTCCGAATTGCCTTCTGGACACAACGCAAGGCCGTTTCGTCGGTTGAATAGTCGTTGTTCCCTTTTTACTTGTCCTCAGCCGCCTCGATACGAGGCTTCGCAATTTTCATTGAGCAGTTAGCGGCCCGGCCTTTTCTGCGCAGGTCGTTCGAGACGGAGCTGGCGGAGGCGTGCGCGCCGTCCCACTTCAACATCGGGCTTCTCCCGTGGAGCCCCCTGGCCGGCGGTGAGTGAAAGCAAGTGAAAGGATGACGGCCCGTCTAACCATTCTCCATGGTCACCTTTTGACCCGTAAGAAACAGCAGAAAGCTGAGGGACGCGAGTGTGCCTCTAACTCGTGCCTCAAATGCGATTCGGCCAACGATCGCCACGACAGAAGTAGGTCAAAGTCAGGCTTGTACTTTTTTGAACGGGAGGACTCGACCCTTTCTTTCCTGAACCCTCTTTCTCGCCCCTACCCTGTCCCACGCTTTCAAACTTTCTTACAGTGTCTCGTTCGAAGAACTACTGAGGCACTCTTTCCGCACCCAGAATCCGCCAGCTGTCAGCTGCTCTGCCCGCAGGTGCTCTGACCGGCAAGTACCTGGACGGCGGCAAGCCGGCGGGGGCCCGTTTCACCGACTTCTCCGACTACATGCGCCGCTTCCAGGCGGACCCCACCATGCACGCCGCCCGTCAGTACGCTGAGCTTGCCAAGTCCATAGGTGAGCATAACACCAGGTCCAACCCTTCTCGCTTAACAGAATGCAAAGGCCGGTGTATTTAAGTTCTCTGGTCCTCACAGCTTCGCTTCTTCAGGGACTTGCCTGATTGACCCGCCTTGCCCCTCGATTTGCTGTTAGCTAAATAAATCTAGGGTCTTGGACGTCCGTGCGTGCATGCCCGTTTCGGTTACCCAACAGGGTTCCTTTCGTCCGAGTATTAGGGACAACAAGGTGCCGGAGAAGCTCAGCATAGCACAGTGGTACGCTTACTATCTAAAGCCTCAGGTTGCGGCTCCGACTCGGCAAAGGCCGTGTTCCTTGCGGTCCTTTCGCAGAGGGGCGAACATAGATTTTTAGTGCGTTCGCTTAAGGCGACGTTCCGTAAGTTCGAACCCGTCTGCGCGGACCTCAGAAGTGTCAAAAAGTATTTGACTCGGATACTTCGACGCTTTGCAGCAAAGGTCCTCGGAATCGCCCAGCTATGAGTATTTACCACGAGCTTGCAACTTCGTCAGCTTGTTGAGATGCCGTACATGACGTCTTCAAATCATAACCGACCGCCAAGTGTGCAATAAGGACAGACTTTCGTTCAGCCCGTCGATCTCTCGCAAGTTTCGCGATCGACGGTAGAGCATACGAGTCACCGGCGACGGCTGACGGTTCGGCTTTTGCGTCAAGCTTTTTCTGAAACGGAACACCTCCCTCAATCCACCGCTAGAGCGTCGGCGTACGCTGTTGGCACTGTGTTTGACGGAGCGCTTCTCGTGCAGGCGTGTCCCCCACTGTTCTTGCGCTGGCGTGGTGCAAGTCGCGCTGGTTCGTGGCGTCTACCATCTTTGGGGCCACCTCCATGCAGCAGCTGCAGGAAGACCTGGGTGAGCCGCTGACGCCCACGCCAGCGTGCGTGCACACTTAGAGTGCTGCCGGAGCAATGGCTTCCGACGTGTTTCTTGCAAGATGCCTTGATCGCAGAGCCACGCAGCCGCTAGATTGTTTGTTTTCAGATCGAAGTTGGTATGAGCAGACTTGAGAGGCCATCCCGAGCTTACCTTGTTTTCCCGAAAGGAAATGTGTATCTTTTGGATTCTGAGGTGGCACGAGAGTTGCCGGTCTTCGTTGGTAAGGGAAGGATGGTCAGCACAGTGACGAGTTCCATTCTTAGCGGTCACCTGCCTTGCTTCTCACCCGGTTCCTTGCTCTGCCCGCAGATGCCTTCGAGGTCGAGCTTTCCGACGAGGCGTTGCAGAAGATTGATGCCATCCATTTGCAGTCGAAGGACCCGTGCATGACGCTGTAATTTATTGAGTCTTCGAACTTGTTAGGCACGCTTGATGAGTAGGCCAGGAACAAACTTCGGCATATTGCCGAGAGTTGAGCTGCGCATTGCAGAGCTATAGCAGTTGGACCGCGGGATACCCACATTCCTCTGGGGAGGTATTGCAAGACGTGTTGTGCTAAAATAATTGCTCGATGACACAGAGTTTTAGTCCATTGCGAGATCACAAGATGCAATTTTGCCTTGAACATCGAACGATTGACAGTTCCTGCATGACGTCATGCACCTATTCAGCTAGAGACAACCATGTTGACCCAATATCACGTGTGGATGTATTGTCGCATATGTCTTTTTGTCGCAGGCCCGCGAGCGGGAAAATCCCATGAATGTACTACTTAGTCTACGACCTAGTTGACTAGCCGCAGGTGCGGCCGGTCACAGAGCTGTCGTGCTTCTTCGCACGCGCATGATCTGTAAGCAGGAGTTTGATGTGAGCTTGCCACTGTGCGAATATATTTGCCATACGGCTAATTTAAGTACGATCACGTACATATCGTAGAGCTGGCAGCATTCTGTCGAGCTACATATACGAACCGCCATCAACTACATGATTCGAAGCTCAAGTGTACCAAAAATCCGTTGTATACTTCCACGCGCTTCGTCTATTCAGACCATGCCACATACTCTCGAGCAAAGCCTAGCATGCTTGAAAAACAGCACCCAGGCCCCGAGATGCATTCGGTGCAAGCAGGCACTTGCTATGCTCCTGATAATGTCCACGATTCCGTCATTTATCCTATGGAATTTTTCCCTTGCATACTCAGAAACTTTCCTACCATGCTACTTTGCGTACCAGACTTTCGTCATCACCTGTTCGTCAGTTTACCTTGTCCAGCTTCTCACGACCACTCTACCTAGCTTAGTAAGGCCAAGGCCACAGCAACACGGTACAACCCGAAAACGCTCAAACTCTCCAACGTGCTAAGATTCAACTCGAAAGATCAACATGCTCTCATGTGATCCAGGGTTGACCATAGAGACCTCCTGCCCCGCTCCTAGACTCTTGATCAAGACCGTCCACGATAGGCAAGCGGCTTCTATGTTGGCTTTACAAACTGGAAGTAGACTCGACCGGACCTTGACATGCGAGCTGGATACACCTGTGGGTATAGTCAAGAACGGGGTTGCTGGATACCGGTAACTGCTGTGTACTGCACATGTCGTAGGTTGCAAAGCAGCGGTGCGGCTCGCTTGGCTGCTTGAGCTGTCAAAACAAGAGTAGCTGCCATTCGTCGCGACAGCACAGTGACCGGAACACCGCTTTGCTCTCGACAGAGAACAAATGGGGGACATAGCTATACAAATGTGTCGTACTGTATTGGCTCACCTTCGTGTTTTCGCGAGGGGCCTTCTCTTTAATGGTCCCCACAATCCATTGCATCGGCCCGTCTTTGGGGCAGTATTCAAGCACCGTCCCGTCGAGTAGCGAGAACTTGGAATGACACAACGGGCACTCAATCTGCGGCCCCTTGCCGTCGGCAGCTGTCGTCACCTGGGTCACACAGCAGCACACGCCGCACATGATGGAGGAGCGTACACCACAGCTGTCCGAAAATTCACATTGACGGGCTGTGCCATCACTCCAAGGACCAACTTCTTGCCATCTTCCAGCGGATTGTGAGAAGATGTCCTCTTACCGGGTTCTGGATTGCACTCGCTGCCCGCTGAAGAGCAACGGGGCAATTGGGGCGAATCTGTTGTCAGATGCAAAAGTAAATGTCCGTTAAGATTTATGGAGGAGGCTGTGGTGGCGCTAGGCGGTGCTCACCTTCCCTTCAATGACGGGAAACTTGCAGGAGGCGCAATTGGCGTCGATCCCGTACAGCTCATCTCCGGACTTGATCACCACGTAGCTGAAACGCAAGCCAGTGCGAGGGGTGAGATCAGTATCTTTGCACTTCTGATTGTTTGCACTCCCAAAAGGAGGCGAAGCTAAGAGACCAATTGTCGGCCTTGCCTATCTAGAATTGGCAAACCCAGCCACTATCTTAGGCGAAGCTGAAACAACTTGTATCGGGGCACGCATGGCATTGAGTCGAAAAGGCAAGAAGTGTGCTTAAAGGGTGGTGTACTTATTTGCAAAATACAGGCAAGGTTCCTCACCCCTCTCCTTTATGGATGGTTGCCTTGTTCGTTCCTTCCTCAACTGACAGCGACGGGGCAACCTGCAAGAAAGTGCTTCTGCTCAAGGGGCCACATCTCTGGTCAGCTGAATGTGACCTTGGAAGGTTAACATATTCTGCAACACGCGGTGAAGAGAAGGTGCCGAGGCCGCCACTGATGACAAGATAACCAGCAATGAACACAATCTAGGGTACTGAAAGTGAATGTTTGAGGTGGAAGCTGTTGGAACACCGAATCCGCAGATCACGACACCCTCTGTGACCCCATTGGTTCTTCCGGCGTCGTTCGACTTTGGGACCTGGGTCATTGACACACTCTTCAGGCTACTCTGCGGGTAGACGGTCGAGATGTGAACGGGCCTCCGCGCTCCACTCACCTCTGTCCAGCCCTCCAAACTCTTCTCTTTTTGACTGGCTGCCTTTTGTCCCTTTTTGTCAATCTGGCTTTTTAACCGGCCCGTCCTGCCCCAACCCTCCGGGATCTCAGGGGTGCCGGCTGCCCTTGCGGCCTGGCTTCGGACTGAAGGGTAAGCCCGCCCCTGGCGACGCTGATCATAAGGAAGCAAGGTGCCGAAGAAGCCATTGCGATTGCCCTCTGTCTGCACAACAAAGAGACGCCTCGCTATTCCCGACGGTTGACAGAACCGGTTGGCAGGCCGAACCCACCCCGTAGAGCTTCCTCGCTGCCCTAAACCCCGGGAACCATCTGCTTCAGCTGAAACGACGGCACATGCTTCTATCTCTTCACAACATCGTAGGATGGCTGGAATGAGATATACTCATCGCACTGGTGGTGCAATGAAAGAATCTCTCTTATCAGGCGCGCCAGGAAACAGGCAGACATCATTGGCTGTTTGCTTGTGTCACGTCTCCCGCAGGCAAATTTGACGACAGTTCTCCACATTATATAAATGTCCGGGGTGGTTTCCAATGTACCTTCAATTGGTGTGCTTCAACCTGCTTCAGTCTGTTGTCCAACTTGTTTCCAAATCAGTGCGAGAGCGATCATATGCGCAGGCAGCCAGCTCAAACAGTGGAAGCTCTCCAAAGTTGAAACAAGTTTCATACTCACTTGTTGAGTTGACGCTGAGCAGCAGTTGAACCGTGCCCAGGAAACAGCGCCGGCTGCAGCAGTTGCATTCGCCATTGCAAACGTACAACTGCAGCCTCCGAGCACAGCAGAAATGCGACCAGGCCCCTTCCAGCTGCAACAAGGAAGCAGAGCAAGGGGTGACGAAGAAAGCACCTGCGCCGCCACGCCTGGGATGGATAGGAGAGCTGGTGCAGCTCCACCGACTTTTGAAAGCTGCTCAGCGGACATGTCTGCACCTGCGCAGCTCCCACCTTCACGTGGTCAGCCACGTCGACCCAGCTTCTCCACAACCATCCTACGTCGTGACTTACTTTCATTTGATTGGTACCTCTTCTCTGCTACCGGTGATTATCAGCCGTCGAAAGTTATCCAGTGTACCAACTTATGGAACTTTGGCGTGCTCCGATGGCGCTATTATGTGAGAGTGTGCCTCCACCTCTAGTTTGACGATGCGCCATACAGACTCACAAGTCAATATTGTAATTCCAGGTAAAACGTCCTCTGCAAGGTCAAAGATGTCGTTGATCTCTCTAATTTTTGACGACCAGAAAGAGCTTGCAGACATGAGCAACAGATTTGCATGGATCTGCACACTGTAAGCATGGCAATCCGAATGAGCTGAATTTGCCATGTCGAATTTGTGCCAACTAGAGACGGGGTGCATCAGCTGTAAGCATGATCTCCATCCCACAGCTCAACGATCGACGTAGCTTTGACCAGTAAATGAAGGCAAGTAGAAAATTTGCCATCAACCCAGTTGAAGAGCATCATCAATGTATCCGATAGCTGAATCCGACAAGTTGTGTAACCTTATTTCCATATTGTCTCTGTAAGATCTCTATTGTACACCAATCGCGGTCGCACCCTAAGTTTCTTGTTTTCCGATCACCTTTTACTCGTGACATACGTTACCTTTGCGTTATCAACCAGCCACTCCAACACCTTGTTTCCCTCGAGAATCTCTTGTGCTTGTTCTTTGACTCGCTCCATGTCGAACTCTTGTTCAACACCCGCAAACTCTTGCCTTGCGCTCTCGACCTCCCTATCCAACTCCTCCTTGCTGTAGGTTAGATTTTCTAGCTTAAAAACTTCCGCAACTGCTAGCGTTTTCCTGCAGATGTCCATGATTTGGTCCTTCTGATTCAGCAGATAGTTGTTGACCATCTCTTGACTAGACAACTGCGCGATGCTGTTCCGGTCCAGCTGCCCCTTCGCCTGCAAACAGAGAGATGCCCGGTTCTACCTCGCGCAAAGAACTCGAAAATCACCTTCTAAATGCAAGAGCTCAAGAAGTCGCTGGAGTGGTCGTGGGGCACAGGGATCCACTGACGCAACAAAACTTGGAGGCGATATGTCGGTTCAGAAACAGCTTCTTGGCCCATCATTATGAGGTCGAAAGCCCGCGTTGTTTTGCTTTGAGCAGTCGTGTTGGCGGTTACCTGCAGCTCGAGCAGCTTGCTGGCGTAGATCTGACGGCCCTGCTCTTCCAGCAGCGAGTTCGGCACGTCCGCATACACCACCTGGCCACGCGGGCAACAAACCGTCTTAGACGAGGCCGACGACTGCCTGCCAGGAGCCGTCGAGAGCCGTGGAACTTGGGCTGTGAGATGAGGATAATCGAAGATGCAGTTGCGGCTCAGCTTGTTTTTCTGGGATGGGAACCTATCCGCTTACGGTAAGATCGAGAGCTACAGAGTCAGAGTCGGACGCGGACCCGTCATGCGGGCTTTGCTGGGACTGCCAGTATCCGCATCTGTAAGTGACACCGCCACAGTAGATCACGAACAGCATCTCGAAGTACCCAAGGGCAGGCGACCCTTCTGTCCAACTGAGCGTTCAAGAGCTGAGAATCTCCACAGAGAGAAGCATTCGCAGCCTGCGGGGCAGTACCTGGCCGAGCGCGTCGGTGACGGCCTGCTGCGTCTTGAACTTCTTCTTGAGCCGCGCCGCTTCCTGGGCCGCTGCCAAAAAGCCTTCCCGGGCCTGCAAGCAGGAGCAACGGTCGCGGTGGGACACGTGAGCGACAGGCAAGGACAGACAGACGGGGCCGAGCGTGCGAACTTCTTATCCCGTGCGGAATCTTATCTCGTGGTGAAACGCAGGACGAGCAGGACGAACCGAGATGGGCTGCGTTACAATTGGGACCACCGAAAGTTGTCAAAGCGGACCTACAGGTTTTGAACTCGACCAGCGAGGGTTAGAAAAAAAACACGATACTTATCTATCTCATCAAACCACATGTACGTTCCCACCGAGGTGTGAAGCCGTCTCTGTATTGCTTGATTAAAAGCACACCCTGACATCCGCAAACTCTTGTAGCTCGCAACAAGTTTGCATACCGGGATCTTGCTGTAGTATTTGACAAAGGTGACACACGAAAGCGCTAAACATGGTCAGCGGGCATCACGTGCCCCAAAACTCAATATGAAAACATCAGAGTACAGGCCAAGGAAGGGACGCTCTGCAAGGTGATGCGCACCTCGGCGAGGGTCTTGGCCCCCGGGTACAGCTGGTCCGCTGTTTCATCCGTGAGCGGCGGTAGGTCCCGGTTGAAGATCTCCTTCACGTCTACCTGAACCACCACCGCAGGGCGGCCGTCAGCACAGCCGTCGTCCGCCTAATAGTTCGCCAAATGGCCCCGAAACGAAGCGAAGCAGTCCAAATTCTATAATGCAGACCGTCAGATCTTGGCTCTGACAAAAAGCCGTGATCGCTTTCATCTTCTCAACAAGTGATGCACTATCAATGCCCGCTAAGGCTACTTGGAGAAGTGGGTTGCCAACAAGTCCAGCCAATGCCCAAAACGAAGAGCTGTTTGTCTCTTGAAGACGGCTGCTTCGCTGGTACGTGAACAACACATTTCCCAGTTCCTGCTCGGTGGCGGCCTCACCGAGAAGCGCGCCTTGACGCCCCGCAGCGACTCTTGCTGCCAGGTGTCCGGGAAGACGAGGTCGAAGGCCTTGGCCTGCCCGGCCTCCAGGCCCAGCACCGCCTCCACGAAGCCGGGCAGCAAAAAAGCGCCCTCCTCCGTGTCCAGCTGGAAACCTGGGGGAAGCGCACAGCAACGAGGGGCTGGGCACTCGACAAATGGGAAGCGCAGGGCGGACCAGAGTGCAAAATGCGGGTTTCGGAGCTAGAAGTGGAACGGCTCACAGCGGCTTGAACCATTCCACGCGACTCGACACCGTGAATGCTCAAGGAGCAACATGGACGACGGACAACACATTGACCATGGCGGCAACTATGCCCAGCTTCCAACAACAGGGGTTAACGAGCTTCTTCAAGTTGTGGGAATGAGCTCAGGCTTTACCTTTCTGCGTTGCTGATAGGATCTCTTCCCCCACGTTCCCATCCGCATCCAGCCTCTTTGCCGCAACATCAATCAGTGCGACGTTGCCCTGATCGATCCCTCCCCCCTGCTTGATCTTGAGCGACCCAAGGTCTTTGTGGCGAGCCCGGAAATTCGCGTCAGCATCGTGCGCAATGGTATCCTCATCATCGATCTCCACCGTCACCTCCAGTCCCGCATACGCACGCGGGGTCTTCCAAACCAGGTCCGGTGCAACGTCTACCACAACATCGTAACTGCACCCAGGACACAGCGAGATGCAGCTGGTAAAAGGCATTTAGGGGAGATCTAAGCTCTCAACGTGGCAGTACTGGAGGTGGGATAATGGATGACCCCTTGTATGGACACCTGCCTCCTCGGTGGACAAACAGGGTGCACATAACAAGATTAAACGGGGTATTGTGTTGATGCACAAGGTTGTAAGAGAAAACGAGTGTAAGAGGGGCAATCGAACCGCAGGGGAACTGATAGTGGGCCCTCACACAAGCTCTTTCTTTGGGTCGAATGCCGCCACCATGTCATCGAACTTGGTGGTGATGTGCTCAGACTCCTTCAACGCTCGGTTGGCCACAGACTGCAACGCCTTTGGGATGGTGGTTTTCAACAGCGCCTCAACAGTGGAGGCTTTTACCTGCACAAAGGACGGAAGTCAGGACTGACGAATCGTAATCACGAACCACACTCTGCAAGAATTGCATTCCAATCCAGGTCCCACGGCCCTGTGCACTCCTGAAGTTTAAACGTTGCGTTGACCTGTTCTTAGAACCGGGTCACGCTAGAATATTGGATTACCAAGTAAGCAACTTGATCCACACTGAAGAGTTGCATTAGCGAACTGCTACCATTCCAGCAAAAGGTTGAGGGTTGAGCCGCAGCATTCAGTGGATTGAGCAGAATGGTTGTACTCACCTGCGTTTCACCTATGTGGTTCACAAGCAGCGGCACTGGGATCTTGTCGGTTGGTCGGTAGCCATTAATCTGGACAGCAACGACCCCGTTTTTGTAAGTAGAAGTCAGGGATCTCAACCCTGCTGTCACGTCTGAGTAGAGAAGGGCGTACAGGCTGACCCCTGCCCTGAGAAGGCTCCGTCCCTCTAGAATTGCCTTTTGACAATGTGATCAGAATTGGTACGCACGCCAGTGAGCACTCACCTTCACCTTCTTCTTAAACTCCCTGAGGACCAGCTCGTATGCATCCTGACACGACTTCTGTGGGACTGTGACATTCAATAGTACCTGCACGAAGCAGGGCATGCACACTGGAGACCAAAGGCAGCAGTGACCGGTTGTGTGCAACCACCCACTCCATCGAGCATGCTGAGTAAGTCCTGGCTGGCTTGCTTCAGTCTTCAGGGAGTGATGAATGCGCACCACCTCGTAAAGTTGATAGTGGATGAAGGACCCGACGAGACCAATTGTTCCTCAACTTGGGGGTCTGATTGACTTCCGGTTTACAACACATCAATTGCTGACCATCATGGCCATACTGGTCCATCAGAACACAATTGGTCTTCATCAAGTGGTAATGGTGCTAGAACAAAAAGCACCACTACTGTATCGAGTTGCTATGGGTGTGGATCATCTGCCTTCTTCTGTCCTGTGCTAGTGGCCAAACCTGATGATCCGCCAAGCTGTCGCCGTCGATGAGTTAGTCGGCTAATTTTTGCCCACATTGTCCCAGCAATTCTTGGAGAGGCCCTCCCACTAACTTTTAGCAGATTGAGAATCTTTTAGAAGCTCACCCTGGATTGTGGTTGTTGCACTTCTCTCACGACCAGCTCGTTTGCCTGTCCTTTCTGACTGACACCGTGGCTGGCTCTGGCAGATATCCTCTGATCCACCGGTGCTCTCCGCAACAACGTTCTTGAGACATTCTGCACGAGCGCCGACCTCTCCCCAAGAAAAGACGAGTTCCTCTTGTGCAATTTTGAGGATGACAGCAGGCGGCTGCAGCATTGGGGCGGAGCCAGCAGTTTCGAGGCTTCAGACGTGACATTCCTGGCACACTGAGTGAGGCACTTCGGCTGCAAAGCCGCATTCCTCACGAGCTGAGACGCCATTGCGTCTTTCCTAACTCACAGAATCTCTTCGCAACCCCGTACACTTTAATTTCAGTGCCACCCGCTTGCATGGGCTATCCTGCTGCAATGCCAACTATCCTAGCTAGAGGGCTGAAATTCCAGGCA